CATGCGCTCCGGGAATATTGTAATATATTTCCTGTAGTGCTAAGCCTCCAGAGTGCAGTAATACAGATCGCTTTTTCTTTGCATCCTCCACGTTTATGGCGTCCAAGTATATGTTAAACGCTCTCCTCCATTTTTCCCATCGCAAACCCACGGAGCTTGGGTCTCCTTCGCAATCAAATTGCTCAATACTCGTTAAGCTACTCATTTTATTCCGGTCCTATACTGGGGAAGCTTTGATTTGCTTGCTAAAATAGATATAGAGATATAAAAATTTTGTTTTGGTAGTTTCTTACTAGTTACTTCTAGCCTTAAGCAGAGCCATACAGCCGCGTTACGCGTTTGACTCCACGTTTGATTTAGATTTTTACGCGTTTTATTTCGTATTAATTAACATTTTAAAAAGTCAAATGCAAAATTCAAAATCCAAAATTCAAAATACAAAATTCAAAATTCAAAATTCAAAACTCAAAATTCAAAATTCAAAATCCGATACAAAACTCAATCGATCGATCAGTCGATCTTATAAAATCTATGTTATTTATTTTATTTTTTTTTCAGTTTCCAAAACCAATGCAATTTTCCTGGTTTTTAAACTAGTGCATTTTTTCCTGGTTTCCAAAACCAATGCATTTTCCTGGTTTTCAAACCAGTGCATTTTTGCTTGGTTTCCAAAACCAATGCATTTTCCTGGTTTTTAAACCAATGCATTTTTCATGGTTTCCAAAACCAATGCATTTCCCTGGCTTTTAAACCAATGCATCCTTCCCTGGTTTCCAAAACCAATAAATTAATGTTTCTCTGGTTTCCAAAACCAATGCATTTTCCCTGGTTTTTGAACCAATGCATTTTCCCTGATTTTCATAATAATTATAATTAATAGAAATTTACTTACATTGTTTCGGCAAAGCCACTTGGACTTTTGTTTATATCACTTTACCGAGCACTGATTTTCACAACAGTAACTACTATTAATGTTCACAACAATAACTACTATTAATGTCCTTTTCCTAATACACCTCGTCGCCAAAAATGTACTGTCTTATTCTACGAGTCGTATTCAATGAAACACAATTTGTATGTTTTCATCAGCGCGTCTCGTAATCGAATGACTCCTCGGTTGCCGATGTCTAACGCATCATTACTCAGCAACCCATGAGTCACTGATATACGTACGGATCGATGCTCTTTATTATATAATAATTCCAATACATTACAACACAGATAGACGGAACAATAAACAAAATTTTCGTATGACAACATCTCTCTGTCTCTTTTGGGTCTTTGTGCTATCCCCACCACTGAGAATGCCAAATTTTGTCTTAAATCCCTAAATAATATATTTCTCTCCTTTTCTAATTAACGTTTTCAATTTTATTTCTGAACTCAATTTGGCAACAGCAGATTGTAGCAAAACACCGCCCAGAAGCGGCTTGTTGGATGGCAGGCAGGTGTTGGTTGGAGTAGCTAGCTATCTTTATCGCAAACAGGGATTATTCATTAGCGTTAAACAAGAAACGACCAATACGATATTGGTACTCCCAGAACAAAGGGCTCGTATGGAATATTTTCAGTTTATTTGTCAATTTGTTATTTTATTTATTCATCCAATTAAATTTCGAGTTATTTTCACGCGTGGGCGGGATTTTTTACACCATTTTGAGCAATGATGTCTCCCTACCCCGTCCCCGCGAGCAACTCACCTCCCCTGGCCCATGGGTGGTCTTGTCAACACAACAAATATCAATTTATGAATGGGATGATCCGTCTATCTGTGTTTTGATGTCATTGATCCACTTCCACAAGGCTACAATTTTTATGTTGTAATTTACATATATTTAAGCGTACCTAATGTTACATATGTTCAAGCGTAAAAAAAAAACTGACAACCCATTTTGAGGGTTGCAAGTATGTGGCAGAAGATGGCAAAGTTGTTATAGGGATAAGAATTGATAACCTTCTCCCACAAGGCTGAAATTTTGAGGGAATATTATTTCATTGATTAAACAAGTATATTATTATGTAAACAGCCAACCTATTCTGGCGGTGCCAAGTGTCTGCCAGAAGCGTATACAGTGTGTCCAAGGTAAGGATAGGATAGCATTAGGATCTATAGAATAGTTAATGGTTGAAGTTACAATGTTGATTAGATTAGAAAAAAGTTGCGCAATTTAACGAACAATATAATCGCAATTCGACATTTGAAAAATTCTGAACACTTTCGGTGATATCCGGAAAAAAGCGAAATTTTGGAAAATCATTTTTATTTTTCCTGAGCTTATTTGAGGAGATATTTCAAAGTAAATGTCACTTCATCTAACTTTTTCTACTCTACAAGATAACATTTTCAAATTTGAAATCTGACGTTTCGTCTTTGGGCCACCTTCATCAACTTCACTTTTTTAAATACGGACTTTCATTTTTTCTTTTTAGATTTTATAAGCTTCTGGTGTCCCAAAACGAATAACTGCAATAGCAGTTATTCGAAAAATTTATATTATTGGCACTTTCCATAAGAACTTAACGTGTTAGAGAGAGACAATGGAATTTTGGTTTGAAAAAGCTCAAGAAAAAAAAAATCGATTTCCCAAAATTTCTTTTTTTTCCGGATACTTATTTCCGAAAGTGTTCGGAATTTTCCAAATGTGAAAGTACCATTTTATTGAGCGTTAAATTGCGCAACTTTTTCCTAATCTAACCAACATTGTACTTCCAACCGTTCTCCAGATCCTAATGCTATCCCATCCTCATCTTGGACTCTCCCGAGCGCAATAGACTTATACGGGTTCCAATGTCAGAATGAGAGGATACGATATTATATTAGCAAGATATGATAAACAATTACTGAAATTGAATTTTTGTCCAACTTTGAGCACCGACATCTGGAAAACTGGACATTGAATTGGGCCCATGGAGATATTTGTTCAAAACATCAAGGACTACAACATACTAATTTCTTTTTTAAAATTGGCCAAAAGCAATTTTGCATAAGAAGAGTGAAGGGACCTTTTTTGGTTTCTTTTTGTTTTTAAAGTTTTGAAATTTCCTTTCACTCAAATTTGCATTAAAACCCACAAAATGGATTTGAACATCAAGAGAAAATGTTTAAAATTAATTTAAAATCATATTTCAATGATCTCTGCGACTTTTCACGTGTTTTCAAAGAATAGTTTTCTAAAATAGTAAGCGTTTTGCCCAACCCATATTTGTCGATGGTAGGGATCTACTTCTTGCATCTCATCACTGATACACTGGACCAACAGTTTTACATTGCTTCCGAAAGATGGCGTTTCTTGCTAATTCCAAAGAGGCAGAAACAATAACCTCTAGACCACAACGCGGATCTGATAGAGTTACAGATCCTTCCGTTCCCGTATTTTGGGTTAAAAATTGCATCAAGAACCACAAAGTGATCTTAATTTGTTCTAAAAGTGCTTCCTCGTTTTGTTTGAAAAATTTCAAAATGTTCCTTTCACTGGTTTTTCTGAAAAAAATCAGGTGAATGGGTGCATTTTTTAAAATCTAATTTCGAAAAGCTAATCTAGAATTCCATATGTCCTTATTTTTCACTGGATTATATAGAAAATTGTAATATAATGAGATCTTAAGTTTCCCCTTTGCAGGGTGCATTTTTAGAATTTTCTATATTGTTGTTTGGCACTGATGATGAAATCCTAACACTCCTCTTAAGTTTTGACTGTCTTTTCAATTCTGACTTTGAAGTTGCCTTTATCTCTAGACAGCAACAGACCAGACTGCCAGGTTTCTCCAGGCAATTTCTATGTAGGTGAAATTTCCAAACATACATTCTAGTCTCAGATCATCAATGATCAGACAGTTTTCTTATTTTGATGTAGTTATTAAGAAATTGTATAAGCACAATGATTTAATGGAATAAGGGCTTGCTTTGCTGAAACATGCAAACAGGTACCCTTGAGAGCAAGTTAGTTTAGTCTTTTCCTCTTCTAGATAATCTGTATCCATAGGAATCCTAATCATGCTATCGGAATTCATGGTTCCACTTTTCACTTTTTTAACAGTACAAAAATTATTTTTTGGCACAATCCCAGATGGGTCAGAATTGATTATAAACTGTCAAGATTCTGCGCAAAGGTTCGCTCCAGTTCCTACTGAGATTTTTGACTCGATTTCACACAGTTTTTTAATTGAACTTCGTTGACCAGTCGGAAGCAACTACTCCGAGGGCAAATACCCCTTCCGGCGTTGAACTACACTGATTGGTCTGAGCTTTCGTTGGCAATGAAAATTGTTAGAAAGATTTTATCAGGCAATGACCAACGTGAATACAGGGACACAACGGTCCCTGTTTGGCAATCGACCCACTGAGCAGTGGACTCAGGCTTCCCGTGCCAATCCTTAACGCGTTTCGTCCTTGTTAGGACTCATCAGAAGGATTGACACGGGAAGCCTGAGCCCAAACAGGGACCGTTGTGTCCCTGTATTCACGTTGGTCATTGCCTGATAAAATCTTTCTAACAATTTTCATTGCCAACGAAAGCTCAGACCAATCAGTGTAGTTCAACGCCGGTAGGGGTATTTGCCCTGGGAGTAGTTGTTTTTGACTGGTCAACGAAGTTCAATTTTGCTTGGACAGGGAGCTTCAGCCTATGTCCTTCTGATGAGTCCTAACAAGGACGAAACGCGTCAAGGATTGGCACGGAAAGCCTGAGTCCACTGCTCAGTGGGTCGATTCTCAAACAGGGACCGTTGTTTCCCTGTATTTACGTTGGTCATTACCTGAAAAAAAAATCTTTCTAACAGTTTTTTGATTGTTTGGGAACTATCTTAACACAACAAAGTGTTGTTTTATGAATAAATGTTCAGTTTATCTGTAGGGCATATGTGAGTGATTGGTGCCATGCATTTTGTACTCTTTATTTGAGAATCAAAACAATGAAAATTCATTATTCAAGATTTTAAACAATAAAACATGTGACGTGATGTAACGTTGGCATTAATAAATTAAATTTGTTTTATTTTAGTGAGATTACGTGAATTAGAAAAGGTAATAAAGGCATTGAAACAAGAAAAAGAAGAATCGAGCAAAGAAAAGCAGGACCTTCAAGAAAAGCTGAAATTCCAAGATAAGGAATTAAAAGATGCAGTTGCTCAGAAAAAACTAGCCATGACTGAATATGCTGAAGTCACGGACAAGCTTGCCGAACTGAGAGCGCAGAAACAAAAAATGTCTAGACAAGTAAGGTCATTTTGTATTTTGTCCTAAAAGATTTATTATTTTCTAAACAGGTTCGCGATAAAGAAGAAGAATTAGATACTGTGATGCAAAAAGTCGATTCGCTTCGAAACGACATTCGGAGAGCTGAAAAATTGAGGAGGGAATTGGAATCGAGAGTGGAAGAGGCGCAAGCCGAGGCGGGTAAAGAACGAAAACTGAGGGAAAGATCGGAAGAATATTGCAGGCAAATGCAGGCGGAGTCTGACAGATTGAGAGTGAGATCGGAACATAGTCCAAGGGATCAACAGGACTCGCTCAGATTAAAGGCTGAGCTTGAGAAATTAGAGGTTTGATATTATTATTATTCTAATTAACATTTGGGTGAGGGAATATTTCATCAATTAAGGCCCGGTTTGTTCATCTTCAGATAAATTATTCGCAAGATAGATTTACCGTTCTATAATTCTATTGGTTGGCGGGATGTGTATAAATTACGCTAACCAATAATATTAATTTCCAACAACTTTTGTCTTTATGGTCTTTTCAAATCGATCAAATTAATGTCTTAACAAGGGAAGGGTTTGATTTTATTTCTGAATATGCGCCATTCAAATAAGTATTTTTGTTTTCCTTATAGGTACAATACAATGAAAGCCTCACTCAACAACAGTCGCGCTATAATTTGGAACTGACGTCGCTTAGGGAACAGCTCCAAGAAGCGGAGTCACATCGAGATCTTCTTGAAAGAGAGGTGAAATAGTTTGCATGATTATGGTTTTGTTTTTTTATTTTTTGTTTTATTTTTTTATTTTATTTTTTTCTCGTATTAAATCAGCTCCAATCTCTAAAAGAGAAATGGGAAAAGTCTAAGCTAGAAGCCATTGCCGATACGGAACAAACAATAGCGGAATTAAATAGGAGGCACGAACGGGATAAGCAAATGTTAGGCGAGGAAAACAAAAAACTTTTCTCGAATGTTCAGTTTGTGAGTTTTTTTTTAAATTTTTTATTATGCTTACTGGGAGTGGGTAATTCGGAAAATGGGTTGTTTGAGTGTTTACTTGGCTATTTACGTTTGTGTGAAGTATCTAGTGGGTTTAGGACAGTACAAAAAAATCATAAGTGTTTTAAGATACACTACTGGAAAAACTTACATTTCCAATCCCAGTACTTTTAAAAGAGATCTTGGTATTAGAAACTGTTGACTACTAAACTGCTGGACAGTTGCTCTCGAACGAGGAAAATATCGCCTAATTTTCAAGCTCTATATTTTTGGAATCGGCCCCATGATCTCAAGATTATCCTGTAGCAACTGCTGATCATATAAATTATTAACAATTCTGAAGGCCTTAAAATCATCTGCGAAAGCAAGGCCGTCACTATTTTGAAAACAATCAAAAATGGTGTTGACAAACAAATCAAAGAGGGGAACAGTGCCCACCTTGTGAAACACCTAAGGTAACACTTATATAATCTGATTGAGAAGAACCTATTTTAATTATTTGCCTATGATCTAACAGAAAACTTTTAGTTCATCGATCAGAAGCCGTGTTGAATCCTATGTCAAATAACCTTTTCAGAAAAATTTGATGATCAACGCGATCGAACGCTTTAGAAAACATATGTATTGCATCAATTTGATTAAATTCCTCTAAAAGTTTAATAATTTTATTTTGATATGTGAGCAAATTAGTGACAGTTGAACGGCCAGGACAAAAGCCATGTTGATTAATATGAATTAATTTGCTGCACATCAATTTTAATTGATCACTCATTAAGCTATCAAATAACTTGGGAACTGACAATTGGATGCACACGCTCCTGTAGTTGGTGATGTTATTCTTTTCACCACTTTAAAAGATTGGCACAATAAAGCCTTCCTTCCATATGTCAGGAAAAATTATTGACTGCAAAGACTTGCCAAACAAAATGTGTAAGGGAGTCACTATAGAATAAATACAGGTTTTCAATAAGCTGTTAGGAATAGGGAATTTTCATATTTCTCAAATTATTTTTTTTTAGATACTTCTAGTGATCAGTTATTACATAATTTTTTTTTTCCGTTTTAATTCATACATTGTATGAAAAAAATTTATTGAAATTCAAATTAAAAACTTTGGCGCGAAAACACGAATTCTCAATATGACAGCGTTTGTGACGTTAAGATTTTGTAAACAACAAATACGCAGTTAACGAATTCTGCTGACGCAGTCCTATTTTTGTGTTATTCAAGTGTGGTAAAGTTTGTTTTTTATGAAAATTGTTGCAATAAATAAAGAATATTGTAAAGGACTGCTTTTGTAAGTTTTTTTTACTTGCAAGTTCCTGACAGCAGGTTTGTTTACAGAATCGTGACGTCAAAAAAGATAGCCATCATGAAAGGATTGTTTTGGCGGGAAATTTTTTAATTCAAATTTTGTATTATTTTTTTGTGTAACAAGGGCGGTATTAGTTAAATAAAAACTGGTCATATAGATATTGTGCAGCATAAACTATCGATTTAAAATAGCATGCAGATAATGGTATCTGCATGCTCGTCTCCATAATACATAGAGAGGAAGTGAATGACTATTTTTTAGGTCCCAAATGTACTTCCAGAAATATCAGAAGTACATTCTGAACGTAATATTGATAATTTCTGGTAATCATAGTAAGATTTTGACTCTATATAAGCTTTATGTGTCTCTCTTTTGTGAATAATAATACGCCTCAGTTCAGGTGAAAACCACTTCGGAAAAGTACTAGTTTGGTATTGCTTGACCAGTAGAAAGGAGGCTATTCCCACACCCAAAATCTCATAGAAATATTGAAACGAATCATTAATGTTATGTAAGTGTGCTAGACCTTGATCCCAGTTTATACCTGCCAAGAAATTGTTCAACTCCCAATAATTGGCATTTTTATATCTTACATGGTGTATACTTTCATCTAGCCCAACCCATTTCCACACTATTGTCACTGGTAAACATAAGATCCAAAAATACATTTCTATTGTTAGGGATAGATATCATTTGATACAGATGTAGGTAACCAAACAATTGTGCTAAGTGAAGAGCAGACGAAGTTCCAAGACAATCAACTTGCAAACCAAACTCATCATTAGACCAAGCTGCTTCTGTTAGATTATAGTCACCGAATATATACAGAGTGTCCGTTTTAAGTGATACCACTATTGCTATCTCTGAAACCGGGTGTCCGTTTTAAGTAATACCACTATTGCTATCTCCGAAACGGTAAAATATACGAGGTCGGTTAAATTAGAAAAAAGTTGCCTTTTTTGATGCTCATTGTTTACAGTATCGCCAAATTCCTTTCAGTTTATGAAATACAGGGTGATTTCTAGGAAACGCCTAAAACCATTTCATCAATTATTTTGAAAACTATTAACTTTCGAGACACAATTTAAATTTAAAAGTTTTATAATTTTTTCCTACAGCCGTGCGGAAAAATCGATTTTCCGCACTGATATGCGTGCGGAAAATGAGTTTTCCTGCACGGTGCGGTAAAACTTTTTTTTTTGACATATCAGTGCGGAAAACGTTTTTCCGCACGGCTGTCAGTTCGGAAAAATTTTTACCGCACTGATATGTCAAAAAAAAAAAAAAAAAAATACATTTTTTCGCCTGTAGGAAAAATATTGTACCTAACACTTGCGGTAAAATTCTTTTTTCGCACTTGTTAGGTAAATAGCTATTATTGCTTTACAACATGGCATTTCCAATCCGACGTTTCGTGATCGAGCTACTATCATCAACTTCATTTTTTCAAATACGGATCTGGATTTTTTATGTCATTTTTAGAAAGCGCCCTTTATTCTTTTTCTAACGATATACCTCTTAAGTATAATTGGCCGACGGTTCTACTCTAAAAAGTGATCATCGGTGATTTTTACCAAAATATTACCTTAATTCGGCCCTGGAATTTGTTACTTGTAACAAAGACGGTCTTACAAGTACTTTTTTCCTTTATTATTTAGAACAAAATTAACAGAATAATTTTGTATGAACACTTAAAAATATCTAATTATGAACAATAATTAGAATATTAGAAACAGGTTGGCATCACTGATATTGAATATGAATAAAGGACCCCGCAATATTTAAATGGAAATTGGTTACCCGTGATATTTGAATGAAATTTAAATATGTTATTGGGGATGCCGTAAGCAACATTTTTTACCATGGGCACAACCCTGTATATATGACAGGTGAGGCGTGGTTAGCTGTCAAATATTGGAATCTTATATCCAAAAGCAGAATAACTATGGCAGATTTTGATGAACAAAAAATCTATTTCTACTAAGTCGGCCAAGTTAAGCCGAAAAATGTCAACCATTTTGACATCTGTCAAAACCCTGCCAAACAGCAGCATTCATCTTTCCCAGTTTTCAATATTTTATGATGTTATTTGTCATTTTTAACTTGTATGTAAATTCTAAATTCAAAAATTGAAAAAAAAAAAAATGACAGAACTGTCAAAATGACATCATTGTAGATTTCATTTGTAAGTGCCAAAATGTTTGAGTACTTTAATGATTTCATTTTAGTACTGAGTATTATAATGATTTCATTGAAGTACTCAAAAAAAATCGCCGGTATATAAAATCCTTTATACTAAAACTACGTATTTTAAAATGAAAATTGACATCTCTGTCAAAATCTGAAACATGCGTGTAATGTTTTTTCATACGTTATTATAAAAAAACTCAACTTAAATTGGAAAAGAACTAGATTTGATTATTTTTTGACTTAAACCTATTGACAGATTCTGACAGCTGTCAAAATGTGACGTACATACATACATACATTTATTTCAGATCAATAAACATTCTTCCATACTACATGTACTATATGCCAACTTATCATTTAAATCGAATACATACATTGTTAGAAAAGCACCTAGACTGTGACGTCTGTATGTGCAAAGTAGTCTATACATAAGTAGATACTAGTAAAACTAGCAAAACCATGTGATCTGTTAAAAACATTAGGTTGGTCTGACCAAACGAAACAAATTATAGGTAAAACAATAAGTACTATAAATATAAAAAAGTAGGCTTAGACTTAAAAACTTCATAATTCAAAAGAAAAGCTTAATTAAGAATTATGTGCCTATTCTGTAAATCGCCTTACATCACTGTAAATTTTAAAGTGCGTAAGTTTATATCGCGATGTATAACTGAAACTTTACATTGAAGGCCTTAACTAGTATTCCGTAACACCTGCTGTAAAGTAGCCCTATTTATAGCGCTCCAACATCATATATTTTTATATTTTGACAATTTTTGAAGTTGAAATATTTTGGAAAAAAAAGGGAAAAAGGTGTCATATCTTTACCGTCTATGGCGTCTATAGTCCTCCTGATAGATCAGATACATAGGTTTTTAGGTTTTTTGTGAGTGGTCCGATGACGGCCCTTCCACTGTGACCTACGGTCTACTGTGGATTGTGGCTCACTCCGAGTTTATATTTTCCCCATCAGTCCAGCCCTTCTTATGAAGGTGGAGATAAGTATGGGGGAACCATGCATTATGTATTCGGGTCGAACAGCTCCGAAAACAGCATGTCTGATTTTGCCTATCGCCGGACACGTGCATAAGGCGTGTTCTGCAGTTTCGTCGTCTTCCATCAGATACATGAGACCTTAAGTCCTTTACGGAAACGCTGAACCAATTATTGATCCATTGAGTTGTGTGTTTTGCACCTTTCTTCATTAAACACGATTGAAAATAGACACAAACTACATCAGTTGGGTGATCGGGTGAATTCATTGTAATCGGATCAGCGTTTCCGTAATGGCTTTGGATGTGTCAAGACTGTGGGAGACTGTGCGGCTCCAGAATTGGTTTATATAGCTATCAGAAAACGCACAATCAACGAAGATTAGAATAGAAGATCATCATACTCGATATCGAGTGATTGCCTATTGTGATGATGAAAGGCCCAATCTGTATTATAGCCATAATTAACTAATATTTCACTCAAA